GGCCCTGCTGCTGTGCCGGGGCCCCGCCCCGCGCCCTCGGAGCTGCTTTCTGGATGCCTCTTCTCGTACTCTTAGCGGGTTTTCGGTGCTCTCCGCCCTTAATTCCTTCTCCCAGCCGGTGCCGCCACTCGTCGGCACGCTGTAGGCCTTGCTGGAGCTTGGTGGTTGGGGTCTGAGGGAGCTTGAGAAAGTACATCTCTCGGATCCTGTCGATGCTGCCATTTCGCAGTGATTAACCTACAAGCGCTTTGAGCTTCTCTATCATCAGGTGATCTCTCTTCTCACAAAGTGTTTATGTGCCTCATCTTACTGGCTTAAAAAATCTGAAGGTGTGGGTATAGACCTACAGTCCCTTCCTGCTGTGGGCTCATACCCCACCCTGAGCACGGGGCTGACAGAAACCACAGGCTCTTCGGGCTGCTCCCAGGCTGTCTGCTGGTCCTGCCTCTGCCGTTAGGCTATTTATCTTCTGAGCACGTAGGTCAGGGATAATGGTGTCTAGTGCAGTTTCTTAAGAGATGAAAAGTCAAAAAAAGTGTTCCTCTCCCACTGTTACAGGCAAGTGGCAGGCCATCACTGAAGGAGAGAGCAGAGGTTCTCCCACCTGTTTGTGTTTCTCCATGTGAAGTAATGGTCTGTTACATTAAGCACAGTGTATAGTGAACTTCAGTTAGCAAGCTGATGGATTCGCTGTCATTGAGGAATAGTTTGGAAATGGAGAAAGATAGTTTGAAACAGTCTGGTTATTTCTGAACACTGAAGCTTCGGTGTCTGGGTGTCATGCTCTGTTCCTCAGGCCCAGGACAGAACGCGGTGAGTCATGGGGAAGGCTGGCAGCTTACCATAAACCCACCTCCATCACTGATTAAAACCAAACTGATGCACACCTGTGTGTTGTGATTCAGTGATTGCTTTAGGAGTGTTCATTAATGCTTAAAACTGCCAGAGGTATGAAAAACTGCCAGCAGCGTAAGACACCCTAATTAAGGCATCAATGAGACACTGAAACCGGTCAGTGTGACTACAGTACCTTGTGGGTGAAAACTTCACCGGTGTTTGGATGTGTCCCCAGTCACGCCTGATGATCGGTCAGTTCTGTGGCAGAACTGTTGTGAACTCTGACAGGGATCAGAGTTGGGATAAAAGGCACTTTGGTAGACGTGGCTTTTCTGCATTGTCTCCTCTTCTTTGACAACTGTCTTCTGTGACTGGCAAATTATTCTTAAAGGTAACTTTTTCTTTCTTTTCAGTGCAGTTAGTGCTTGTCATCTTGAACTGCAGCCTGCTTTTGTAGTGTCTTAAGCAGCTGCTTCTCAAGTATTGAGGCAGGCTTATTTTCAAATCAGGCAGCCATTTAAATGTCAGTTCTGTTGTGACTGGCTTAATAGTAGATAACTACTGCAGTTTCAAACAGCTGGCTATGTATTATTCCAGTCTTCAACTGTAACTTAAAATCTTAATTTTTTTTACAATTGCTGGACTCAAATTGAGAGAAAGGATGCAGAACAGCCTCTGCCAGGCCCCTGCCTGTGGTCACTGTGAACGTCTTGAAGTGTAAAAAAGCCTTCTGAAACAGCAGGTGTGCTGATTTCTCTGATAATTTCTGAATTGTTAAATTGAATATCTGTTGAAAGTTTTTGACAAGCTAGGTGAATATTTTGTACAGTAATTGGATTTTTTTTTTTAACTGGTAACTAGGACAAAAATACAGGCTTTCACAGACGTTATTGCTGGATTAAATTCTCGACTCCAGAAGGTGTTCAGAACGTACTTCAGAAGGACTCCCACATACTTGAAGGTGCCAAGGTAATGTGCCAGTTCCTTTAGTGAAGTAACGTAAGTTCAACTCTCTCATTCTGCCTTTGGTTGGACACAGTAACATCAAAATACTGCCCTACTTGTTCCAAATGTGATTAAGCATTTTGCCACTTAGTGTGCTTTTAATGTTTTTTAAATCATTAACGCTTTTGTTTATTCCCCCTCTAAACTTGACTTGTTAGGGTCTGAGATCACATAGATACCACAGAGATCACATACCAGAGATCAAACCCTCCTGCTGTACTAAGCTAAAGGAATATAAATGCAGTAAAACTGCAGGAACTGCTATGGAACTGGTTATTATTTGTAACACAGGTTTCTGCAGGTGGATTCTCACATCTAGTTTGGATGCTGTGTCGCAGGGGGACAAAGAATGTATATCATGTCATAGAGGAAAAATCAGCAGCCTGTTTTCATGCATTTAAGATAACTTCAGATTAGCTTTAGTGTAGCTTTTTTTTTTTTACTTGCTGTCTCTTAACATTTTAAAGGTTAGTAAAGGAAAAGAAATGACACTTCGGCAATCTCAGTGCATTAGTTTGTGGTATCAAGAGACTGCGTACACCATCATTTAAAAACTTTTGGTCTAGTACTGATACAAAGGGGTCACTGACTGGTCAGAGCCAGACAACTGCATCATCTAGCTTCACTGCAGCCAATAAATAGAACAAATAATGTTTGGAAAGCAGTGGGATGGCCATTTTAGTATGCAGCGGTGTTGACAGAGAAGGATAAAAGGACAATGAGTCAATGGCTGCCCAAAGCCATTAATAAATTAACAGGTCTCATGTCAATATCATTAGAAACCTGCATCTAGTATGTTCACTAAATAGGGGCAAATTACTAAGGGCATCTTCTTGTAGGCTTACATGTGCTTCAGCTGGCTTAGCTACTCAGACCTAGCAGTCCAGAGTGAAACCAGGGGCAACAAGCAGACTGGTGTAATAAACACAGTCTTTGAATAATGAGTAAGAATTCTTCAGTATCCTTCTGACAACTAGTTTCTTGGTTTGAGACTTTCAAAGCTAGGAGATTGTAACAGTAAAGTGAATTGCAAAGAGACTTCAGGGATGCAGTATGCTGATTGTGATAAAAGTATGTTGCTTGATGTGGTTTATACTACTGCAGAAGTCTTCAGTGGTCGGTGGTTACTTCAGTACCTACTCCTAAGAACTGACCTCTGAGTTACCACTGTAGTGCAAAAATGGAAGCAGAAACTAAGGAGCCGTTTGCCGACTTCGGTCTTCAACTGTGACAAGCCGGGCAATAGGCTCATCCCTCAAACTGGGCTGAAAGTAACTAGGATGTTATCTATATGCAATTATCAAAACAAGGACTAGGAACAGCATAGATGAGTATTTAGTGTCAACTTCTTGGAAATTATTTTGTTGCTTTTTATTCCTGAAGCTCTAAGATAGTTGCATTCACTTAACTGCCTAGGCTTCAAGGGCTGTACGCTCACAAGAGATGCCAGAGCGAAGAGGCTTCTTTACAGTGAAATAAAAAGCAGAAGGCAGACAGTAGTTAGCTTTCTTCGTTTCTTCAAAAATGCAAGCTTCTCTAGAAGCAAAATACATAAGTACTTCTCCCACTTTCTTCTAGGCTAGGTTTAGACAGTTACCTCCTATTAGTTCCACTTGAAAGCACAAGCTTTTAAGATGCCTTTTGCTGATACAACTAGTAATTGCTGTGCCTGTCGGGAACTCAGCATTTGTGGTTATGGCTCATAAAACTGAACTGGTTATAAACACATCTTCCACTTCCCATATGAATGTTTTAGAAGATCAGAAATTAACAATATCAAGCCTTCTTGCCTGACTAATTTGAATAATTTCCATTGTTTTCAGCTCACTCTCAGACAGCAGCCCCACAGAAGACAGTCAAAGAAAGAATCAAAGTGACTGAGCGGTGGAAGGACGTTTTATTTCACTAAATGTAAAGAAACTAAAATAAAGATTACTGAGGAACTATGAATGAGTATGTGTTTTAAAACAGAATCCAGCTGTTTCCCCTCCTTGTTCAAATAAACTGTGTAGCCACACTAAAGAAACACTGAATCATGAACTCCCTAACATCCATTACAGCGTAAGACAGTAATTATATACAGCAGCAAAGCTCTTACCAGATGAATTAAAAGCTTTAGCTACCTACAAAAACTAAAGCTGTAGGAAGGGGCTACATTCTTACCCTGAGATGCTGAGCAACAGGGGATCAGCAAAGTCAGAGCACGTACTAAAGAATAATTCCCTTGTGAAATGTTTCAAAGCGGTCTCCGTTCCTCCACTCTCCAGGGGTAGCTGTCCTATGTGGAAGAATTACTGTGTGTATATATCCACACGACACGAGTTGGGAACTGCTGCGTTACAATGCCTCTGAAACTAAAAATGCCTTTTGCATGAAGTCCGAGCTTCCAGTCCATTTCTCTACCTCTCAAGGGGCAGAGGCATTCAGTCCTTCCTCCTCTTCTTGCTGTCGTGCTCATGTTCTTTGGGGCGGCTGCTATCCGACGGCCGTTTAGAACCACCGTGTTGCTTAGCTTCTTCCAGAAACTTGTCCAAACCAAATGGATCCTCCTCAAATTGAACTGGTCCATCTCTGCCCCTCCCTCTGGTGTTACGATCCGAGTTAGAAAACTCTTTATCAGGAACAAACCTGCAGGAGGAGAGGTGATAGGCAGTCGATTGTAACTTCAGAGTTCTAAGCTTTGTTCTTTGTATTTCTTAACATGATTTTCTTACCTATTGGTCTTTATTCGAGCCTCTAGGTCATCACCATACATGTCCTTATCCACATTTTTACTTGGCCTGTAGATGTTTTGGGCCATATCCTTGCCACTTCTCCACGGCTGGTCATAAACATTATAAATTTCATCCTCTCCTCCAGCAAAGCCACTGTCCATACCCTGTGACAAAGAAAGAACAGCAGCAGTGTAACACAGATGAGTCTGCAAAACTTCAGCTGACCTATTTTAACATCAAGACACACTAATGGTGTCACGCAGATACCTGAAGATGGTATTGTGTGATTTACTACTGATTTCAAATGAGTTCAAGCACTTCATTAGGACGTAAGTGGCTTTGGGTCTGGGATTAAGTCCAGAGAACATAACACAATCATTACAAGCCTCAGTCAGGGCCACTTCTACTCTTCTGAAAAGCAACAGGAAGGACTGCAGGCCATTCATATTTCAGAAGAATGGATCATTTCGGTCTGCCCTGCAAATACAGCTGTCTATAATAGCCAAGTACAACCATACAGAAATGTGTATTACTTAATTTCTGGAAAAACACGATGTAAGCTGACTGATCCAAATCACAGAGGCTTATGTAAGCTGTCAAAGTAGAAGTGCCTGCTTGTTCACTTTTGATTCATCAGCTTTCCTGCAAGTCTTTCACTGGAGATGTGAAAAAGAATGACTGACAAAATGCAGGTCTATTCAGGGACTTTCTGAAGCCTAATCTACTTTTCCATCTCTGAATAGCATAAAGCTCAGGGAAAAGAACTGTTGCTGTTAACTATTTATATCTTCAGAAGAATTTTTAACATAAGCAATAATGTGAATAGAAATTATTTACTTGCTTCTCTCTCAGAGCAGAGTTCCTTTATTATTCACTCAGTATATTTGTACAAAAGAACAAAATTAGGTCACTGCAGCTTGAAGGCAAAATAGCAAGAAAAACCACAGTAAACCCACTTTAATCCAGTTACACATTCAAAATACTCCATTTTTGTTGCATCAGCTATGGATAAAGGAGATCCATAGCTTCCTAACCAGTTATGCAGAGAGTTCTTTCAGAGCATATCCACACCAACCCTGAGAACCGTGTCCCTTGAGTATTCTACCCATACCTACGAAGGAAGGACGAGCATGTTCTCACAGAAAGCTACACAGCTGTGAAAAGGTATTTTTACCTTGCTCTGGTTGAACAGCCTCTGGTCATACTGGATTTCATTGGATGGCCTGGGGTTGGGTACCCCGAGGGCAATGACTTCACTGATATCTCTGTTCTCATTTCTCTGCAGCTTTGACCTGAATTAAAAATTTCAAGTTTTATTAGGTCAGTAAACCATATTTGTCAACATGCTCAACTGCAACCTGATCCTGTATTAGTTGCTGACAATTTGCCTCAGGAGCCAGATTTTGACTTGCCCTTCCTTGCTAGGTAACATTTAAAATTTGTCTCCTGGTAAAGGAAACATTTGAGGAAGTTACATTCAGCTGGACATGACATTTAAATTTGCTTTTCACTATCTGCAATTTACATCAAGCTGACTTGGTCTAAAATGTCGTATTTATTTTTTTGCAAGAACAGTGTAATGGTATTCTGGAAAGGCCAAGCAATCCAATTTTAAGATATTACAGATTTTAAGCCTCCAGAAAGCATTTGTGCTCAGAAATCTCACTGGCTTGGGCAAACAAGATCATTCAGCCTACACTCATAAATCTAAGCTTACTTCAAACAAACAGCTTCAAGAAACAAAGCCACTAACGATACTCTGATCTCACTGAAGTTATAAGATCCAGGTTTCAACCTCTGCTGTCAACATGTTAACTGAATCTGAATATACTGTTCTGCTAAAGAAGAAAACCCACCCGAAACCAACAACCCTCCCCCTCCTCCATTCACTTCTAAATTTAGAAGAGCATACTGCACTACACTAACACAGCAATACCATTTCATACAACGAATGAACCGTGCTTCATACCAGCAAGTATCTCCACAAGGTAAAATTCAGGCACTTGCATCAAGCAAAAGGAAGCCCAGTGTAAGAGTTTCTCTAGTAGGGAAGCCTGTGCCAGTGCAGGAATAAAGCAGCTTGCTTTTGTGACTCACCTTTTGTCAGGGGCTGCCCTGGAGAGATTTCTGTCATGCTGTCTCTCTTTGCGCCTGTCATGTCTGATTTCATCTCTTTCTCTAGCTTCTCCATCCTCTGAACAAACACAAGATTGCTCATTATAGACAAATACTTGAAGTTTGAATTAACTACACCACCACAGACACTGGCACAGTGATTCAATTCAGTATTCTTTTACAGAAGAGAAGTGACCCTTTGCACTATTTAAAACGTTACACTTCAAATAAACTGAACACATGGAAAACCACAGCTTTCTTACGCCACAAACCATGAACTGTCCTTGACAAGAGAGTTACAGCAGACACCTAACAACTGCGTTTTCTCAACTGTCAAGAGCTTAGAAAGCTTGTGCATCTAGGAATTAATATCCTAAAACACCCACAGATCATCGTATCATACTTTTAAGTGTAAAAGTACTGTTCAAACACGCAGGCATCCAAGTGGTTTGAAGGACATTCTGTGACTCAGTTTCAGAAGGACAGAGGTTGCCAGCCTCCCTGGGCAACCTGTTCCACTGCTGCTTGTCCTCATGGTGAAAGTTTTTCTCCTCACATGTAGTTGGAATCTCCCACTCCAACTTTTGACCGCTGTCTCATTCTTCCACTATACAGCTTAGTGAAGAGCTCTGATGATCTCCTTGTAGATATGGGAAAGCTTCCATTAGATCCCCCCAAAGCTACATCAACTCCTGGCAGAACAAGCTTCATTCTCTCAGCAT